GAAAACTCCACTTTTATGAGAAGTCGATCGAGTTATTTGAAAATAGAAATGAAATAAAAATGAAAATTACATCCTTTTATAATTGAATTCTTATTCTTAGCTTGCATTTTAATTGAACTGAATTGAATGCAAGCTGTTCTTCAATTATTAGATTTGAAATAAAGTTTTTACGATAGGAATATATTGACAGAAGAAAATCATCAATATTAATCTTATTACGTGGAATGGAAGGTGATAACAATTTCATTATACATTGTCGAAATTTATTTGTTAAATGAAAAGGTTTATTAGGTATGAATTTAAGACCTTTAGATAACAAATTAATTTCTGATGTAGACTATTAAACATTTCCAATAGTGTAAACAATATCGTTTAAATGAATTGCTTCTAATTCAGCTAATTGTGGGTTAAAATGGAGTGGTTTATTTAAAGCAGACTGTTGTCGATAACACGATGTAATTGCATTAAACGAAGAATATTCTAATAATAAGGAATTATTGTTATTTATTGATACATGTTGTAAGTTGGATAAGTTGTCACATTGTTGGTTGAATATATTATTGGTTGTTGAATATGCTGTTGTTGTACTGGTGTTTGGATCTGTGTTGGTGGATTCGCCATTTGTTGTTAATTTTCTGTTGGAAAGAACATTGGTTGTTGTTGTCCCTGTTGTGCTTGGAATAATAATTATATCCGTAAGGTCTATATGGATAATAATCGTTATAATTATACTTGTAACTATCATCATAATAATAATTATTATAATGGTAAGGTGGAGAATATGGACGACGGCTTCGATAATAGGTAGATGTTGAAGTCGAATTAATTTGCTTTTGCTGTTTTTGTTGTTGTGGCAATTGTTTATCAGTTCGTTGCATTGTAGGTAATACAAGAGTAGCAGATATTGAATTTTCTTCTGTTAATTTAAATTGAACTATTTTATTTTTATATTTTTAAGCTGCTGATGTTGCTCACGTTTAGAAATCGATGATTTATTTGTAATATCATTAAAATGATTAATTATTGGGCATTCATCTACGATGCGTAATCTAATATTATTTTGTGATTGTTGTTTCGGTGGTGTCGACGGTTTAATTGTATGTCGAATCATTTTACACCAGCTTTTTCATATAAATTTATCTAATTGTTTATCAACTAATGATTCAATTTTTAATCGTTTATTTTGATCGATGAAAGGAATTACAGAATCAAGTTTACTTTTGGTTTCACCTAATGTCTTATTTAAATATTGAATTGTGACATCCATTGATTTATGCCGACACTGATTCAATATATCATTTCATTCTTTAATAAATTCTTCTGACTCATTACCAATAGTTGGATGAGGCATAGTTGATAATGCTGATGGAAATGAATTACGTGTTTCGTGTGACTATAATATTGCTAAATGATTTTCAAATCTGTTTTTACGACTAAGCTCATTTTTATAGATTATTTCAGATGGTAAACCGATTCTAATATTAGAATTTTTTGTTAAGAATATTGATATGCTGGAAATCTGAGTCTGCGGACATGAATGTATATAATTAATATGTTTTGATTTTGACATTTGAATCGGTATTAATCGTTGACATTTCAAACCAGGGACGTTCTTTATTCAAAAATGGATATTTATACTTAAGTGATAATACTTCAAATTGATTGGCTTCTGGCGGCTCAACAGAGTCTGTATTAACTGAAGTATCAACAGCTGACCTTAAGAAATCATGAACCAGAGACTGATAATTCGAGCATAGACAACGGAATTTCTGACGTTGAGATAAGATTCTACTTGATGAAGGATCCATAATCAGAGATGCAACCGGACCGGGCGACCGGGCGCCGGTTACCGGTCCGGTCCGGTCGAGACTTATCAACCGGCCGGTTCAACCGGTTCCGGTCAAACTGCAGGACCGGGACTGGTCAGCTTGGCTTATG